TTGTGGGAAATAATGAGTCATAGTTGCCTGAAATCCTTTATCACCATCACCCCTGATATTATCTACTCTTTCATGATCTAGTAAGTATTGTATAGCTCTTCTTGTTTCCTGTTCTGTTTTCCCTTTCACTGGAATGCAATATAAATATCTAGTGTTAATGTTAATGGCAAATAAATAAGTAACGTTTCCTTTTGAATATTCTAAATGATCTATTTCGTATGAATATGGATATGGAGCAAATGAAGGGCGACTAAATTTTTCCTTTAATGGTTGAATTTTTGGGTCAATTGGTTTATTTAATATTTTGAAATCCTTTTTAAAATCTTTTTGCTTCTTTAATGTTTGAAATGGATATAATAAAGTGAATGATGAAGGATTAACTGAAGGAGGAGGCGGTACTGTCGTTGGAGGTTTTGGTGTTGCAAGTGGTTTAATTTTATCTGCTTTGATTTTGGAATTCATTCCTTCCTTCATTAATTCTGGATGTATTCTATTCATTTGTTTTAAATATGCTGTATATAAAGGTTTGATATACTTTCCCGCTTCGAGTTTATGTTGAAGGATGAATTCCAAAAGTTGATCTTCATTTAAAAGTCGGGCTGAATATGGTTTAACTAATGAATCATAAATTAAAGCTTGTGCTTCATTTATGGTCTGAAGGACCTGGGTGTTTTGCATCTTTTGTTTTTGTTCCTTTGTTTTTTGCGGCTCATGATTATATAAATTATATAATTCATCAATATCTTCTTCTGTTAATACTTTATTTTTGAAATCTTTCAATTGTTTAAGTTGTGATTTAGTTTTTTCCTTTGTATATTCATCATTTTTAATTTTGTCTTTAATTTTAGAAATTATTTTATCATGATATTTCAAAATTTCATTTTTATAATATGGATAATAATATTCCATATCATCACCCGTTATATAGTTATTGTGTTTTTGGAGATATGATTTTAATTCATAATAATTAAGAAAATTTTGATTAAGTACTAAATCATCAATTAAAATTTTTAAATCTGTGTTATCCATTTATATAAAAATAAAATAAATGTTTAAGGGTGCCCACCTCTTTGAATCATAGTATCAAAACCATCATTAACGGTTCCTTTTGTCTCTTCTGTGGCATTTCATTAAAAATAAAATTTTAAATTGTATTAAATAAATGGCATACAACATCCATTTTCACAACATACAGCCTTAGTGTGTGCTCCTGTTAATGCAGTCTTACCGATTGTTAAGTGAGTCATTGACCCATTTTTAAGTTGTAAATTAATATTCTGACCATCGAAAATAACTTTATCATTTATTATATCCAAATAATTTTTAGGTGTTAATTGCTTATTTTGTCGTAAACTAACACCTTTCATTTTTTGTGCAATCTTTTTAAAATCACCCCCATCAATTGAACCGTTGAATGATGTATAACACTTAGGACATAAAGCAACCATGTTATCACCTTGTTTCTCAATTGCTAAACCCAATAATTTTTTCTCATGTGCTTTTTCTTCAGCTTTATTCTTTAATTTAGGTTTAAATTTCTCATCAAAACAAAAGAAATCAAAAGGTGTGAATTTGAAAATGTTTTTATCATAAAATTGTTTATCGGTAACAATCGCCTGAAATGCTTGAGTGTTAGGAAGATTTGAGTCGCCAGCAATAGCCCAATAAGATGAATCAGTATCACCTTCAATGAAATGAAAACGATTAACATCCATGCATTTATACATAAAATCATAAATGAAAACTAAATACCAGTATTTAGCATTATCTAAAGTGAAGAATGCCTCTTGTAAACATGTATCACATCTATAAAATCTATCTTTGAGCATCACTTGATACGTATCTTCACCTATTTCTCTTATGTTTTTAAACTTATTTGACATACATGCAACGCGTGCCTTCTGTGCATTCATTATTTTAGTCTTTGCGTAATTTTGTGTATTCATTGCATCGTAACCATATGATCCATTAAGTGAAATCTTGCAAAATAAACTTTTTCCTTTATTTCCTTCTAATTCAGCCTTTTGTCTTTCGTTCATAAATTTGTTCGCAAATTCATTAAAACAAGTGTTTTTCGTAAATGTTAAAATTGATTGAATATCATCGATGATAAAATGAAATCTGTCTATTAGATACCAAAGATAATAAGAAGAAAATGGTTGATATTGGTTGTGTGTTGATGCTAATTGAGTTAATTTTCTCTGTTTCTGGTCAACTGGTAGATTGTTTGATTTCATGTAATTATACATAAATGCCAATTGTTTTTTCATCTGTGATAATATCTAAGTTTCTTATTATCGGTAAAAAGTTTATGTAATCATTAATGTATTTTTCATCAATGTGACCCTTTACTTCAGCCACGAATAAAGTATTTTTCTTCTTAATTATTCCCAGTGCTTTTGCTTTCTTTGTTGCTGTATCACAAATGATAACACCATTCAATCTTCCCGGCATATACATTTTATGGTCAGTATATTGAATGAAATCATGAGGATTAGATGAAAATGATGAAGGATATAATGAATTAAAGTCAACTCCAACGAAATGAGTCATAATGTTGGTGGTGTCCTCATTTGATACAGTTTTAGTTTCTGGATTATATGAAAGTTTATTAATGTGCGTGATTCCTTTAAGATTAACACGATGTTGAACATTTGATAAACCACCAGTAATTCCATTACGGAGAATGTGATAAGCTTCAACTGAATCTAAAGTCATTGGTAAATTATTTTTTAATGCATAATTTCTTAAATTGATTCTTAAACGTTGAACATCTTCATCTTTATTTGATTTTACGACATTGCAATAACAACACATTAACTGACAATTTTCTTTGGTATGTGGTTTTTCATTATCGATTCTATCCAATGTTGGTTTATTTGCATATGTAAACGCTTTACCACACATTTTGCATTTAGATGAAAGGATTAAATCGTGATAGTATTGAAAATCATCCATTGAAACATTATTTTTAGTATCCCTTTCTGCTTTTTCATCTTGTTTCTTATATGATTCAATTTTATATTTCCAATACTTTTTCGTTAATTCAAAACTTGATTCTATCTCTTCCTCAGGATATTTTTCATTAGGATTAAAGTCTTTATATGCTAAAGCGTAACGAATCATTGAAGCATTCGATGATAAAGAAAGATTATGAAGCATGTCAATTTTATAAACAAATGTTTCTTCAATAATTTTATCAATTGGGTCAATCATAATTTCAACATCTTTATTGCAATAATGAATAAAATATTCTAATCTATTCTTAAAATTTTTAGCATCATTGAGATATATTTGATAATCACTATCTGATATAGTTTCTTGGGTTAATGCTGAATAAAATGAATCTTGAGTGAATGGTTCCACTTTATATAATTCTTCTTCGTAATTCTCCCATGTGATGAATTGATAAGGGAAAAAGGATTTAACACGTGATTTATTGTTTCCGAAATCTTGAGTGAATTGGTCTAATGTCCCACCCGCTATATAATTTCTGATGTCAATAAATCTCAATTCATATGGAACGTTTGTTTTCTTTACAATAATTTGCTTAAATTGTGAAGATGAACCCAGCATTGATTTTATTTTCCATTTTGCAGTGTTTAAATCACGAAGAATTAAATTTAAATCAAACTTTCCCGAATTAAAACCTATGATATTCACTTTATTGAATTCCTCATCTAGAAGTTCTTTAAATGCTTCCTTCTGTTTTTCATTTAATGTATGAGACTTCATTAATTCTTCATATTGTTCAATATTTGATTTAGCAACTAATGAACAGTTGAAAATAAAAACTCAATCCAATCAGAAATAAAAGAATCACTCGAAGTTAAGCAAAAATTCCTCGTATATGTTTTATCATTTAATTTAACCGTTGATGATACCATGAATGGTTTTAAGTAAGCGTTCAAAGTTGCACACTCAGAAAGTTGTAATTCTTCTTTAGTCTCTAATGTTTCGAAGTCAAAAGTAATATAATATCTTGTCGGTTGATAATATTCCTGCAAATTGTGAGCTAATAACCACTGATATATCTTCTGTTTCGTAATATGTGGTGCATATGGTTGCTGTGTCTTTTGCAACTGAACGTCTTGAATTAATCTTCCATTATTTTCTTTACATTTCTCACAATGCTTTAAAAATCTTCTTTGGTTTTTCCTTTCTGGATCATCACGGATAGAATAAACTTCTTCTTTACAATATGGACAAACTCTATAGCCGGTGAGTGCTTCAACGTCTGTTATTCTGTCAGCGTGAAGTTTTCCACATGGACTCTGTGTTAATAAAATATTTACTGTTTCAAATTCTGGATCTATCATTATTGAATCCACTAATGGAAAGTCTACCTTATTTATGTCCACGTCTTCTGGTTGAGGATCACAATAATAGAAATCAATATTAACATTTAACATTCTCGCTAATCTCTCACTTTCTGATGAAATGTCAAACCCTTCATATGAATCTATTGCTTCATTTAAATAACTTCTACGAGTTTTAGGATTAACACCATCAGGAATGTTATAGAAGCGTTTAAATAACCTTCTACCTTCTGCTCTAATTTGATTATCATTCATTTTAGCGGTTCCGTTTTTGTTCATTTATGTAAGAATAAAAATTAAAAAATAAATAAAAATAAAGTTTATTTTTTAAAGCCCATAAAATGAATTAAGAACACATAAATTTTTATCATCTGCGACGTGACGAATACATTTTAATTTACTCAAGAATGCGTACCCTGATACATTAAATCTAATTCCTGTCTTATTTAATTTCACAACTTTGAAAAGGAATGTATGAATAGCTATAAAATGATGAGAAGATGTTTTATGGGTTGCTTCCATTTTTTTCTGAAATAAATGAATAAATATAATGCTTATACGTTTTCATATCTTTTATATTCTTAATAACGAATGGTATAGACCTTTCAACTTCATCTTCCTCGGTGCTGTTCTTTCATATGAAACATTATTAGTATCTTCAACAATGAAACCACAATCACACAAATTTTATATGTTCCAATGGTTTCTTTTGATATTTTATCTAATAAATCAAAAACTTTATCAACACCTGTGCATTTATTTAAATAATAATTTGTGTAAATATCATGATCTTCTTTCTTAATCGTATTAGTTGCATATGTCACGTTTTTAAGAGCTTTTTTGAATTTCTCAGAATCGAGAGGGGGTGAAAGTAAGATACAAGGGTATTCTTCATTATCAATAAATTGTAACTTATGTTTACGTATAAATTTAGTACCTTCTTCTGAAAGTGTTTCATCTATTTCGCCATCTAATAAATTTTGTGTTGATTCTGAGACATAATTTTTATATCTTTCTTCATGAGATTTCTGAACTGCTGATTCTGAAGCTGGGATATTCATTAAACCCTCTACTTCATTTTCATTATATTTTTCAACTTCTCTTAATTCCTTAATTTTTTCATCTATTTCATCTCTTATTTTTTCCAGTCTTTCAATTTCAATTTCATCATATTCATCATCATCTTTAATTCGTTCTTCATAATATTCAGGGAAAACATCAGGTTCTTTAGGTTTTTCTTCTTCAGATGTGGGATATAAGAAATTTATAACATCATCTTTATTCATTTTTCCATCATAATCTAAATCATTTAATAACTCGGCAAATTTTTGACAATTTCTTAAATAATATTTACTAACTTCATAACACATCTCATCTAATATATCCTTTATTTCCTCGTTTGTGAATCCTAATTTTTTAACGTTGTTAGTTTTGACGCTCATTTCATACAAAATAAAAATAAATTATTCAGAAATGTAAGACATAATTTTTTAAAGTTTATTTTTAAAAAATTTTTTTATTTTTTTATTTTTTATTTCATTATGGTAGTGAATCTTTCATTCATGAAAATAATTATTTTAAAATTAATGTTAATTTTTTAATGATTTATAAATAAATATATTTTAATGCATCGTCTATATATAGATGTAACAAAAAAAGTCACACACAAAAAAAAAAAAAAAAAAAAAAAAGGAAGTGGGGCTTCCAGGCACTTCGTGCCCTCTAGCCCCGAAGATGTTTAGTATAAAGCCGCTTTTTAACTTCACTTAAAATGCCACGTAAGCTACGTAAGAATATACGTAAGAGGAAGAGAGCATTGAAACATCCAATAGTAAAACTGACACCACAACAACAGTTGCAACAACAAATGATGAATGACCCCACTATGTTGCAACAAATGTCAAGCAACCCTACGCTTTTAAACCGAGTCATTGGTGCACAGAGTGGAGGTTTAAGAGCGGCACTTTTAGCGAAAATGGCAGGCTATGGTGGAGCTGCAGACGGAACAGCTTATAACCCTCAAAGTCAAATGAATTTGAGTTCACTCAAAAATCAAATAACAGATGTCAAAAAGTCAAACATAGACATACAGAAACAAATAAGTGAAAACGAAAAGAAACTAGAATATGACAGACACACAAAGAAACTCAATGAGTTAAACGTAGAGAAAAAGAAGAAAGAAGAACAACTGAAAGAACTAAGTACAGAGGAATATGCGAAAAAAGTGTCAGAAAAAGCAGCAGAAGTAGCAAAAATGGAACAAGATGTCATAAATTTGAAAAACCATACTACTCAATATAAAGTACTGAAAGATGAAGAAATAAAACAAAAAGCCCTGAAGACATATATGGATAGCGATGAGTATAAAAAAGAAGTTGAAGCAAATGTAAAGGCAGAAAAACTTTTACAGTTGCAAAACCAAACCGTACAGTATGAAAACTTAGCACAAGAAAGTAAAAATAACGACGCAGCCATGCAAAAGGCAATGAAAAGCGCAGAATATATAAAAGCTAATAATGACTGGTTAGATGCCCAAGCCAACGCTAAAGCAGCCCAACTCATAGGGTCAATAAGGACAAAAATACAAGCGGATGAAGACAGTTCAAATGAAGCTTTAACAAATGCTGACTTTAAGAACGCCTTCGAAGCTCTTCATAGTAAGGTGAAACTAGTGAACGACTTCTCATCTGGAAAGAAACTGAAGTCTGAAGGTTTCGACAACGAGTTAAGAGAAGTAGCACAAAATATGACGAAAATAACAGATGCAGCAACGAGACAGGCAGTTCAAAGTGCCTATGACGCCGTTAGAGCAACTGTTGTGGAAAGTCAAGAAAAAGAGTTACAACAGACCAAAACAGACCTAGTAAATGCTTTCTTAAGAACGAAAAGTCAGGTAGGACATTATGCTGCAGATGGAACATATGTGCCAGCTGGTGGAACTTATATACCACCAAACCCTCCAAGAGAAGCACCTGCACCAGGACTACCTAAAACATTTACATCGTCACATGGACACAGACACAGGCATGCACCAAAACCAACACAACAACCAACAGTTCAAAACACTGCACCACAACCAACAGTTCAAAACACTGCACCACAACCAACAGTTCAAAACACTGCACAGCAACAACCACAAACAGAGCAAGGACATAAAAGAAGTAGAGAACAAGGAAACCAAGAATTCTTAAAAATGCTTAAGGAAAATTATGGTTACCCAGATACTCTTGACTTTAGTGACAGATATAAAGAAGCTATTAGAAAGTTCAAGGAAGGAAATACTGACCCGAACCTATTTAGCTTTATGGTTCAGCACCAAATCGAATATAATCTCAAACCTGGAAAATACAAGCTCGCTAAGGGATATGATTTAATAGCATATCATCCAAATGACATGGATGAATTTACTCCGAGATATTTGATGTCAGAGCTAAATGACGATTCAACTCTCTTCATAAAACGCGTAAAAAATAGAGACGGAACGAAAGAAGAAAGGTTTATGAATGCGGATGACTTAAATAGGGAATTTGCTAAAAACCGTCTCGGAATATATGAAATGCCACGAGATAAGGTACAAGAAACTCAACAGGAAGAAGTTCAGATACAACCAGACATGGAAGAAATAGTTCAGCAACAACAGCTAGAAGAGCCTGAAGGAAACGAACAAGTCCCTCCTTTGGAAACTAACTTCACAGAACTAGATGAAGATTTGGAACAGCCGAAAAATCTTGACCCTCAACAAGAGTATGAGGTGAATATGGAATCTTTTCCAAGAGTCTAAAAAAATTCGGCTGACATAGTAGAAGAATATCGAAAAATGTTTGCCGACATACAAAAGACTCCAACACCAGATGAAAATATTCAGCATAGAATGGAAAGTACTGAAAAAAAATGTACGCAAATACAATAATCCTTTTTACTTACGAGCATTTAACGTTCAATCTTTGGATGAACTCGTGTGAAAATAAAAGGTTAAATTTCAAGAAAACATATAGAAATGAAACATTGTTTAAAGTTCATTCAGAACCTAACCAAGATGGAAACAAACCTACTTTTGTTTCTGCAGACGATGGAACTACAATGAGATGGGGTCATAAAGCTAATCCGGATAGGTGGTTCATAAACTTACAACCACAATTCCAAGAAGTTGTAGACGCAATGGAAGTGAATGGTGAACCAGATATAGCTGGTATTTTCAGCGCGGCTTTTAATGCCATTGAAAGATATGAAACATGCAGATATTTTGGACCAGTATTGAAATGAACATGGCTGATGGAAATATAACACCTGACGTTCTAAAAACATTTATCTCAAAGAACTACACAGAACCATAGAGATGGTATATTTGGTGAAGAGTTTAGAAAGAAGTTAGGGAGATAGAAGGAAGAGAACCTATTGTACATGACCTTGCAAACGAAAGTTTACAAAATGTCATAAAAACTTACTTTGCAGACAATGAACCGAGAAGGGATGAATATTTAAGAAAACTCAAATGGACAGTACCAAATGAAATGTTAGTATTGAAAAACATGTTCCTTGACAAAATAAAACCAACTACAGAAATAAACGACGCAAGACTGAAAGATTGGGTAAAAGCTTTCCCATTCACAAAGGATATTATTGGTAACATGGAAAGAAAACCAGAATGGCTACAAAAACATATATTTGGAAACGAGCTTATTCCATATGGACAGCACTGTTTGAAGAGCTTGAACCGGAAACTCAGGAAAGAGTCATTGCAAACAATACGCAAAGACTCAAATACAAACTATGACAAACTCTTTCTAGGATATAGGTTACCTGAGATGGGCGACCAGAGCCAAAAGGCAAAAAGGACATGGGAAATTTGCAACATACTAGAATGAACATAATGCAAAGATGCAACACACTGAAGCAGAGGGCAATGAAGGAAAAGAAGAGTTAAAAACTCAGTCAGGAAGAAAGTAAAGCTTGGTCCGAGTGGGTTCTATTATGATATATAAATCCAACTATTCTATATTTTTACCCATATGAAATGTACGCCGCTCAGAAATATAACGCCAACATTTTGGATGCCATGAACGGAAATGTTTCCGAATGGTATAACGAATGCGACAATGCCATTAGAAGGTCAGAAATAGTTCCTGGAACTTACGAATATACAACTGCTTTTCTTATGGAAACGTAGGCGAGTTTGGAGAAGGTTCTTCAACAACAGTAGATATTGCTTGCGACAGGTTTCATATTATTTCTATTGACAAACTCTTTCTTATACGTGGAACAAGACATTGAAATAAAACTTCTGCCAAGTTGTCTGACAAGAAAGGTTGCAATGGAATTTTCTATGTCGGATACCAATATGCTCCAGAAGTTTTCATGGGATATAAGATATATTCTAAACTCTGACTTAGTTCAAACAGTAACATGGGCAAACTATGAAATGGTTCGCTTTGAGAAACTCAGTACAACCACAAGCTAGAGAACAAACAACCAGTATGCAACTATTGAGAAAATAAGAAGACTTGACCCTAACGTTCCAGGAGTTTATGTTAACCTTTCTGGACAAACTGCAGCAGCAGTAACCAAAGTAAAACTGAAACTTAGAGTTCCTTTGTCATCTTTCCTCATCTTCAGGTTTTTAAGATACTTGCCAAACTGGGCAAGGAAAAAATTTCTATCGAACTTACTCCAAGCAAAAAATAACTTAGTCATTGCACCACAACACAAGACCATTCACTCTTACAGAAGTAGTGGGAACAAATAAAATGTCATTCGCCGACTTTTGCAAAAACAAAGTTGACTTAGACTTTGGTTTCTCAAAAACCTCAACACTGAAGTAAACTATTATTTCAATGTGCTGGAGATGCTTGGGACCCAGTTAAGTTCACATGCGAAAAAATTTGAATGCAAGAGAATAGAAAGCAGACTTGCAGTCTATATGTTGGACCCAGATATTTCAAATGCTTTAGCTGCCAAATATATTGCAGTTCCACTTATGTTCCCTATACACCAAATATCTGTCAAAGACTTTGCAGGTGAATTGGAAACCAAAGTGCTGACCCAGGTGCAAGAACAGATATTGCTTTAACAACTGCAATGAAACATGCAGATACTATGTTTGTACTGTTCAGACGAACTATAAATGACTATTCTTGTTTCTACAACCCCGGTATTAAATATCATATAAACATAGATGGCAAATATTATCCAAGAGAAGAATATTCTACAGTGAGGATATGAGGTCATACAACTTGACATTAGATGCTATGAACTTTAACAACAACTTCACAACAACCATTAACCCTGAAATGCAAAGTTCTATTATGCCATATGTGAAAGTATGGACTCATACAGGAGGTCAAAAAACTCAATATACAAATGGAGACCGTTCAAACTTTTGGCTTGGCATTCCATTGCTGACTCAGAAGACTTTATGGTGGTATTTCAACTGTTGGTACTGTACAAATACAATATACTGGTGACAGAGACGGTCCAGATGAACTGAGAGCAAAGAAGTTTACAAAACCAATAGCACTTTTCACGGAAGATGCTCTTTTGAAGATTCGTTCGATGAAACCTGCTGGGGCTCCTCAGAATTGGCATAACGACAGCTTCCATCGAGCAGATTTTGGCAGCAGGTCAGTAAGTTGTTCTTGAACTGACTTCTCTCCGTCAAATATTGACAGTACGCCAGTTTTGACATAATATTTAAGATAAACTTACCTTTAGAAATATCTGTAAGTTTTGTTGTTATTATTTTGTCAACGTCAAGAACTTTCACCATCTCGGTTATACCAACTTTCTTTGCTTTATGGAAATATTTTGGTTCAGCAAATATTGCTATTCTATAACATTTACCATTGTTTGTATAAAGAACTATTTCTGTCAATGTATTTGTATTGTTTGTGTGTGTAAACTTTGTTCTGCTTCAATTCGAAGAGATACTCGAATACGTCCATCTTTTTTCTATTCTAAGTAAAATGTCATTTCCGAAAAATAGAAGCGTGAGTGTTTCAAAGGTTTAATGGCGGTGGCAGATGTGAAGTTAAATTCACCAACTCAAACAAACAGTCAAAGTGTTGTTGTCAATGTCAAAGACAGAGATGTTGAGTGGGGAAACCATACGAAGACGAAGATGGTATAACAATTGTTCCTGTAAAAGAACAACCAACATATCCTGAAGTTAGCAGAGACTTAAGTTCTGTTGCAGATATTCGAAACGACTACCACAACTGAAAGACAAACTTCAAACTCAGGAGAAGATTTGTCAAGCTTTAGGTATAATGTTAAACTTGGTCGAACACAAACCCTGTTAAAAGTGAAACTCATATGTCATTGCACCTCATGAAGTTTTGAAAGAACTATTGAAACTTTGACAGAGGCAGACGATATAAACATCAAAGAAATAGAACCGACATTAGTTGCTGTGGTGTTTTCATATAATGTCATTGACAAGATATACGTTATGAAAGGAGGTGAAACGTTGAACTTAAAGTATAGTTCCCAGACGTTATAAAAAATATTTGACGACCACAACATTTCATTAAAATTTATTTGCTAAGTAAAAATGTCAAAACTTCTTGAAAGATGTTTGAAGAAAAATAATATAGACTTTATTTCATGTAAAGGACTTTACACACTTTTGAACGATATGAAAGACCCTGTTTTGTTTGTTCGTGTAGACAAGGAGTTCTATGTCTTTACAAAATATTTGAACTTCTTAGACAGAGAACTTCAAGAAACGCCATGTGAAAGTTTAGATGAAGTTTCTCTCCACTTTCAGAAAAACTTTAAATATATATAAATGGCAGAAAGATATAATGGTTTATACTATTACGACTAAAAACCCCTGAGTCATATAATTCTATAACAACAAACTTACAAAGTCCTCAAGGACGATATTGTAAACTAACTTTAAACACAATGACGACTAAAGCCTGTTTTGCTCTTTTGACACCAGAAGACTTTATTGTTGTGAATGGTAAAAAATACTCCTTTGAAGATACTTACTCAGATATACCACCAACAGGTTTTGTTGACTTATTTAAATACTTTAAGGACGGGTGTAACATGTGCGCAACTAGAGCAGGTTCATTATGTTTGGATGTCCGACTGAGTTTACTATAAACGATATGAGCTATATACAAAACTTATTTCTGGTTTTTACTACCAACAGTTTCCTATAAAACAGGAAAAGGTGTCATACAAGGTT